GAAATTGATGGTTATGTGCCTTCACAAAGTGAAAGGGTTAAACTGCTGATGATTTGCTCTACAATGATAAAAGTTTGTATTTTTCTAGGGTTGACATAGCTGTTGAAGATTTACTCTACTCTAAAGTGACTGCAGTTTGTATATTTCTAGGGCTGACACAGGTGTTGAAGATTTCACTTACTCTAAATTGATTGCAATGTGTTTATTTATTGGGCTATAGGCGCTGTAAAAGGTTTGTTGTACAATGATTGTAGTTTGCATATTTTAACGGCTATAGCAGCTGTAAAGGTTTTGCTGTACAAAGATTGTAGTTTGTATATAGAGCTATAGCAGTTGTTAAAGTTTTGATGTATGATGATTTTAGTTTGTATATAGAGCTATAGCAGTTGTTAAAGTTTTGATGTATGATGATTGTAGTTTGTATATAGAGCTATAGCAGCTGTTAAAGTTTTGATTATGATGATTGTAGTTTGTATGCAGAGCAAAGGCAGCTGTTAAGGTTTGCTGTATAATGATTGTAGTTTATATTTATAGAACTGCAACAGCTGTTGAAGGTTTGCTGTGCAATGATTGTAGTTTATATTTATAGAACTGCAACAGCTGTTGAAGGTTTGCTGTACAATGACTGTAGTTTCTAGAACAGTAACAGCTGTTGGAGGTTTGCTGTGCAATGATTGTAGTTTATATTTTTAGAACTGCAACAGCTGTTGAAGGTTTGCTGTACAATGACTTTAGTTTCTAGAACTGTAACAGCTGTTGAAGGTTTGCTGTACAATAATGTTAGTTTTTATATTTCTAGGGCTATAGCAGCTGTTTCTCCAAGGCTCTAGAAACCAGGAAACCTATGACCCTGACAGAGATCCCACTGGTAAGTGAAACTGTTTTGTTAACAAAGGAAAAGAATGCAGGAGACACTGTTGCAGTGAAGCTTGTAATACCTCATTTGTGAAGATTCTAGATGTATCGTATTAAACGTGGGCCAGTACACACTTGATGGAGTATAAGACATCCTAAGATCGTCGTTACTTTCCCAATTATTTCCTCTATGCATCATTAGGAAAGAGGTAAAACAGAGAGATGGGATTCATTACCATATATATATATATTTGACTCCCGCCCATCAAAGCAATGTGGTAGAAACAGTCAATGTGTTATAATGGTCAACATTTAGAGACACAGAGATGAGAAATGATAAGGTATTGAAAACATGTATGTATTGTGTTACTGTCATTTTTTTATTACAAATGAATTATTGAAGATGTTACGAAGGGTATTATGCATTATGTTACTGTGTAAGGTATATGAAGAGATATAAGAGAAACATATAGCAGATGTCTCAGAGACTTTTGAAACTTGTGAGGATTCGAACATGGAACACCTATACTGGTGGATAGTCGCAGCACCAACTATGTATGTGCGTCATCATTAATCAAGAAACTGCTGACAAATCTACAACATTGTTGGCAAATGGAAACAATGACTTGTTTTGATAAGGGGAGATTACAAGGTAGAATTGGGCAGCTTGGTAAAGCGCGGAAATAATGTTTTGACAAGACCTAACTGGCTAACGATGTTAATGAAAACATTTAATGTCTGGTACCAGAGTAGAAATAAGCATGTAATGACAAAAACATGTCTGAGTATCATACAGTGGCTCTGTATCATGCAGCTGGTAAAGGACACAGTTGGAGAATTTGTCGTTACAGTCATGGGCATCGACACAGAACAGGCAGAAGTGTGTCATAAATGTGGAATCTGATGAACACTTATGGGATGCAAATTATTGGCTTGAAATCTCGAAAAGCTGGTTTCACGAGTGTTTTACGCACACCATATGAAAACGACACACTGTGAATTCATTAGGGCTGACATAAGAAAATATATTTTGATGTTATTGTGTACTTTTTAGTGATGTAGTGACATCAGTATGGGATATGCAGGTGTGCGAGGGAATGAAAGAGCGGATGTTCTGGCTACAAAAGCGAAAGCTACGGAAATACTTGTACTGGACAAGAGAGATATTCTAAAGACCATATATGAAAGACTTTTGGCAGAAGACACGAGGTTTGATAAAATGACATGGGCAAGAATGTGTGAACTAGGAATTAAGTGTGGATCCGGCAAGGAGTGACGGATAAGAGGAAGAGATCGGCTTGTGTATAATCAGTGTGCTACGGAAACAGTTAGCATCTACACTTTACGTATTTGCTCCCGGAAACGGAGCATCTTTGGGTATGTCCGGTGTGCTATGCAGTCGATTCCTGAATCAGTAACCAGGTGTAATGATTTTTGCACAGGATTACGGCACTATAAAATAAAGTTGCAAGAGTTGAATTGACGCAATGGAAAACAGAGAAGAAGAAAAGTAAGAAGACGAATAATGTGAAGATGTATATGATGTTAAAGGTTATGTTAATGATAGTGAGGTTTATAATGTAACAAGGATTGCTACTCTAGAGATGGGGAGTAATTGAGGATTGCAACACTTTGATATTGTATTTACGATGTAAGATATTGAGGTAAAATTGAACTATGTTGATATATAATTGTGCATGGCTTATGAAGAGTATAAAATAGCATCTGATAAAAATTATAGATAGATTATAAGCAAAATTTTCTGTATCAGAATGACTGCAGAAATCTCGTAAGAGGGGAAGGAAATTAACAGAGAGACGTCATCACTTGTTTGTCAGGAGTTTGGACATTGCGCATAATTAGAATAATCAACAAGCCTTGGCAACTTTGACATTCCATTTCTAGAACCCTCATTTGTTTGTTAACAGAGATATTTGCAAATAAAAAACCTAGTTACATAAATAACATCTGAAGTAATTGTTGACGCGCCGTATCAAAGAGATACAGCCCCGACGCACTCGTTTTATGGAAGCTCTAGAAGTCTCCCAGAAGGCGAACTGTCAATTTAATTAGTGTATTTTGGTGTAGACTCTCAGATGCAATCCAAACGCAATAAGAAAATCCCATTGATGAGATGTCATTGTGAAGAACGGAGAAAAGTCCATAACATGGGAGCCCTGACTGTGTCTACAACTATTCCTTCCTCCATTTTGAAGCCCACAAATGTCAGGACAATGGTTGCGCCACTAAATGGCTTCTAGTTGGCCAAGGTAACGGGACGCAGATGCGTGAATGACGAATTCCAGAGAAATTTGGCTAAAAAGCTCAACAAAATGGGAAAGAGGAAAACATGCACAAAACAACACAACGTAACGTTTCGGCCGGGCAGCCTTTTTCAAACACAAGTAAACTACACAAACTCCTCGTTTGTACTGGGGTGAGCAGTAGACAAATAAAAATTACTGAGGTGAGCAGTAAGCAAGTGAAAATTACTGAGGTGAGCAGTAAGCAACTGATTATTACTGAGGTAAGCGGCATGTAACCAGTCATATACTGGGGTGAGCAGTAAGCAACTGATTACTACTGAGGTAAGCGGCATGTAACCAATCATATACTGAGGTAAGCAGTAAGCAACTGATTATTACTGAGGTAAGCGGCATGTAACCAATCATATACTGAGGTAAGCAGTAAGCAACTGATTATTACTGAGGTAAGCGGCATGTAACCAATCATATACTGGGGTGAGCAGTAAGCAACTGATTATTACTGAGGTAAGCGGTATGTAACCAATCATATACTGGGGTGAGCAGTAAGGAACCGATCATGGATTGTGGTGAACAGTAAACAATCAATCATTTGTTGTAGTGACCAGTAAGCAGCCAATTATATACTGTGTGGAAGTTTTTAAACACAGACTAAGAAACCAATCATGTAAATAAGGTGAGGAGTAAGCAGCCAATCGTATATTGTGGTGAATTGTTCACACACCTCTAGGGTGCCCTCTGCTGTTAGTTGGAGAATCACAGAGCAGGGAACTCACTTGCCCTAGCAATCGAAAAGGTTGCTGTAGGCTGAGGACGTAGTCTAAAGCCATGTGGCTGTGGAAAGCAACGGAAAGCAACGGAAAACTACCACATTACTATCCCATGAAGCTAAAAATTAAAAGTCTTTAAGAAAGAGAATAGTGGTTTTTGAGCTGAAATGATATAGAAAGATAGATATCTTGGACAAAGAAAAGGAGAAATACTGACATCTTGAAAGATCTGAACATCAAGGAAGATTGGCTTATAAACAGCATCCTGTCTCGGAAGCTGCAATATTATGGTCATACCAAGCGTCACGACGGATTGAAAAACATTATAGCAAACGGCATGGTACTAGGAATTAATCAAGTAACAGAAAGTATTGTGAACGGCACTCATAGAAAGAAGTAGAAAGATAGAAGAACACACTAGACAACATAAAAATCGAAAGCTATAGTTACCGTGCCGGGAATTGAACCTGTCACCTCCAGACGGCGTCTGCGCCTCGCCATGAATACAAGTGCACTAAGATACATGGTCAACTAGGCACCTCCAAAAAAAAGGTGTCTCATTGGCCATGTCTATCGTATAGCTTGAAATCCACGACTATGGAATACGGACAGAATTCATTTCAACCCATTGAAATGGCACCATAGGTTACATAAATTTATATTAACGAAGCAAATGTCGAATAACAATCACAGCAACAATTTACGAACACAGTAAGACCTTATTGCTTTGTCTAGAATACACAAACATTTAAGAAAGGTATTTGTTGGTAGGTTCCGGTGTGTGTACGTCATTCCTATAAATAAACAGAGGGGGGAACCATTTACTACTAGGAAGGAGGGACAGGGGCCGACCGACACGAAGATGGGCACAGGATTTAAGTGACGCCTTTAGTAAAATAGCACATGAGGCGGGAGAACTGGCGAGAGACCGAGTTTCTTTCATGCAGACTGTGATGAGAGCGACGCTCTGCAAGGACCTACTACATGATAATTATGGTGTTCACACACAGACCAAGCGATCAGTGATACATTGCGGTGCTCATCACTTTCTAGCAGTGTAATAGCGGCTGTTTATTGTTTGTTGTCATGAGGATATTATTTTTCTTCTCAG